TTGTACACCAAGGCTCTCTCAGACGTATACAGTCCAAACCATGTAGAGATGCGTGAGCCCAGCGCTTCGTCTCAGAAAGCCCATTTCCACCGATTGCATCCGTCGTGGAAGTTTCTCAGTAATGGCCCATGATTAATGACCATAGGTGGTCATGCAGATGAAGACTGATTTGAACACCGAGAGCTTAGTTGTAAGACTCACTCACTTACAGATTGCTTCACTCACAACGGTATGAGTCAGTCAACACATAATGCCGCTGGTCATTTCAATTGGCCTGTCGACCTCTATTCAACATTATCCATCATCAGTAAATATGAGCCTGATCCAGTGCTTATCCGTTTACCTGCAGCCTGCAGAGTGCGATAGTAAGGAGAACGATAAAGCACTAGATTTTTCGTTTTAGACAAGTTAACACGCATGGTGGCCACATGGCATTCGGCTGCGAAACTTTCGATAGAGAGCTGGAGATCAGATTTAAAGATTGGTTTCCTGCAAACTTCTCGTCTTTGCGTCTCCTGCGATGATGCGCTCGTCTTCCTGGCTTTGTCTGACTCTCCTATCCATGTACAACCCAACAGGTGAGGGGATAGAAGGCAACATTGGCTGAGACCAGGGTCTAACGTTTACTACGGTGCATTCCCTGCTATCGAAATATGGCGAAATGATGGTCTATAACAACTGACCGTCGATCCCATACGCTTGCATTAATGCCCATAGATTGTCGCGCGGGGTCCTGCCATGGGCCATCTCTTGGTCCACAAGGCACATATGAACCCGATGAGCCAATTTCCATGAATTTTTTCACAATTAGGATTAAGGCGAAAATCTGGTTAGAGGTGCTTAGGCTCGACCTAGAGCTACACTGCCCTTCTTGTATCAAAAAATCAGAAAGTCAGTTATTCCGCAGCACCTCCTTTCTAGCACCTTGACGTCAACTTTTTCCGGAATATTCAATAAGACAATGCCCCAATAATTGCAGCACTCCTTATAGTCTCCCTTCTTGAACAGAGGCACTATAATCCCTGTTGTCCACTCCGCTGGTATCTTTCTCTTAGTCGTCTGAGTTTGACGGACAATACGTG